TACAAATATCCAGTGATTTTCTCATTTAAATATTTTTCTTCTTTATGACTAGTTTATTAATAACGATATTATTGAGAAACTCATTCTTCTTTCATAAAAGTTTGTTCTGTGCCTATTACAAACAGTCTTAAATACACCTGAACTATAATGCCCCTGTGGTTAGATCATCTATAAACATCTATTTTTGTTCACTACTTCACACTGAATCCCGGCTCTAGTATTTCTGTTCAGAAATCCTTTTGAGATTGCTGGATCTTCTTCCCAAGGAAATATAGCCTCCTTACATATAAAGGAGGATAAAATTATTTTAAAAGAAACAACTATAGTATATTACACAAACACACACACAAGATTATATGCCAACCTAGCAGTTCGAAAGCACGTAAAAATGCAAGTAGAAAAATAGGGACCACTTACTGATTTTGTTTGAATTTAAGAAAATATATTCCAGAGTTTCTAAGCTTTAACTGAGAATAAATACTAATGATAAATACAGTTCCCACAAAACAGAATATCATAAAATTGTTATCAGTTTTATCATTTCTTGTATCAATTTTTGCTAAGAACGATGTCAGGATAGAACACTAGCATGAGTTAGAAAGCAATTTTCTCCAAAAGTATGGGTGACTAAGACTTGCTGTTTAGGTATTTTAAATAGAAATAGATAAAAATGGAACTATATAAAGAACCAAACAATCTTATTTGCCTTAGTTTGCCAGTATCTGCAAACTTTATGCCTGTTTTGCTATGAGAAGATCTTTTTTATTTTTCACAACTATCTTTTAAGCATAGTTCTCCCTTGTCCTATTTTAAATAATAATTTGCCAGTTTATTCTGTCAGTTGAAGAAGAGGTTAAAAAATAGGAGTCATGTTGTTCATATAGCTTTCATAAGACATTATTACATGTCAGATAAAACATTTAACAAGCTTTTAACATTCATTGCTATGAATGACTGCAGGTTCATTCAAGAAAGCCTCCAATAGCTGTTGTCCTGCAAGAACTTCTGTCCATACATTATTCCTTTAAATAGGACCTTGGTATGCTTCCAGCATGAATTTGTGAAAAATGGGAGTCATTAGTTTATGTCCCTGGTCTCTAAGGACATGCATTCATTGTATGTATGCTTCAAGTTTTCCAAAAGTCTGTGTCTGTGTTTCAGTTTCCTGTGATGTATGTCTTTCTTCCTCATTAACATTTTGCAAAAATCATCATGCAATATGATTACAGGAAGATGGGCATCAGCTTCTAGAGAGAATAAGAAACATACTGTTCGACAGGAGAAAAAAAATCAGCTTTTAATGGGACTTTCCTCCCAATGGCTGAGAGATAAAAAAGACTTGAGTGTATACTTCAGAAAATCCCTTTTGCTATTTAATTTGAATGAAAATAAATAATAAATGTGTACTATTTTTTAATCCCCATTTTTATTCACTGTTTTCTGGCTGTATGGCAAATCTTTGGAAAAGCCAGCTTAAAGTATGAATTTGCCATTTTTAAATTTTCATTTACCTTTTGTTACATGTACATGTTTTGTAGCACAGCAAAACTAATAGAAAGGTGAGGTGCCTGGAAATTGGATAAATAAAATGCATGCACAGGAAGCTTCCTTAAAGCAGGCATATAAACTTTATCTGCCATGACCACCAACCTTATCTGCCAAGAAGAGGGTGATTATAATGGAATAAACAGGCTGGTTTAGAACTTAATGATGATCAGACCACATGCCTGTCAAGTATAATATCTTACGTGCCATAATGTACAATGACCTACTTCCAAAGCTTGTTTCCTCCTGTTGTTTCTAAGTAGATGACACTATACTGCTTATTGACTTCTGTTCAAAAAAAATACCATTGTCTCAAGACACATAGACATGAAACTCCAGTAGCCTTCCATATATGCTTTTGGTTGTTGCCACATCTGACCTTCAGAAGATTCAGTATCATAATAATCTAAAGAGTAAAAACACTTCTTTTATGGTCCCAAGTTTCACAATATTCTATCCCAAGACGGACTATTATCTCTGTTCACACAGCTTTCCCCAATATATTCCTACAGGACTAGGGGCAGGAACCCCAGCTCAACAGTTTAGGTTTTAGAATTATGGGGCAGGCAATCTGTCCTTTTAAAAAGGTGAGAATAGCATTCATGTAATTCATACATAAAACTTAGGCATCAAAAGAAATAGGTTAACACATTTAATAGATATAATGCACTTATTTTAATTTTGTTTTAAAACAAAGTCAAAATCTATAAATGTTTGAAAACTCTGGGCTCACTGTTCTGATAATATCACTATGTCCCCTGCTGTCTGTGATTAAAAATAGACTTTAAAATGTGCAGCCCAAGACAACAAAAGGATGTGCCTTTTTGGGAAGTTGATAAAAATTAATGTCGGCAGGGACTCCAGCATGCATTCTTAATCTTAAATACTTAGAACTGGAATAGATAAACTAAGAACTGAATCTCTTATCTGTTTAATCAGATGCTGGTCTAGATATTATTTGCATGACATTAAAAGGAAACTAAAAATAAATACGGAAAACAAGAAATTTTCCCTTAGCATTTGCATTTTTCAGTATAGTATGTTTGGGAAGATCAACTATAATAGAAAACAAATAAAACGCAGATAACAGCAGAAGAGACTTTCTGTAGTAAAGAACCTTTACTTCAGAAAAGATTTTCATGATGGATAATTAACTCAGTTTCAGTACAGCTTCACCTTCAATCAGTACAAAATCAGTAGGAAACTTTTGTGGGTTTTTTTTTTGTTTGGTGTAAGAACTTCTTGCTTGTCCTGTTCCCCTTTTTGTAAAGAAAACTGCTGACAATTTTTGGCTTGTGATTTATCTCCTGTCATCATCTCCTGTAAACATCAAACAATATTATAATGAACTTGTTTTTTTTTCTGAAACAAGACTATAAAGGGAACATCAAACATCATTAGTGGATGTTCTCTCGAGTTTTCAAAAAACACTATCAGGTTTAGCACTGAAAATGGTTCCTTATTAATAAATCAGGGGTTTTAAATAGGGTATTTTTCAGATGGATTTTTAATTAATTATGGATATTGAGATATTTTAGTATAGTTTAAAATATAATCTATCATTGATAGATAGATGGTTTTTATGAATGCAGAATTTTTTAAAAGTATTTTTCCTTCAGTTTTTAAAAAAATGTAACATAAGAATGTCTGCATAGTGGAACAAAGGCATTAGAAGTACTATGTAAAGTCAGTTTCTCACCAACTTTGTTAAAGTTTGTTAACCCTGTTAAATGTCTTTCACATTTCCTTTTATATATAATATTCCATGTATGAGTTTTTGTTCTCCACTTCTGTAACATTCTTGTAATAGCATTCATTTCTAGACATTATGTTGCTTACTTTAAAACAACTATGTTTTGGAAAAAAAATAAAGCCACATTAGTCCATAAATGTTTCTGTCATGTGAATTTGTTCATATTATTATTATTTTTCTTTTTTCTTTTATTCATTATTACTCAGTAGATTCTTCCCATTCCTCCTTCCATCCTCCTTCAACTACAGATGGGGCAGCAAGTGCAATTGCCACTGATAATGCAAATACCAGCTTAGTCAATGGTACGTTAAGAACACCGGGATTGTTTTTATTTGAACAATTTCTCTCAACTCTATCAGCTTCCCGCTTTCTCTCCTGAACTGCACAGATGTGGGATGTGCATGCGGTTACTGGGTGAGAGCTTATAAGAGATGCCACACAGCCAATACTTTATAGCCAGCCAAATTTCTCACTCATGGAACACTGGGATCAGAACAACTAGGAACCTAGGAATCTTTTCAAATCAGACTCAAGTAGGAATTAAGGACTTTTATTGTTGAATCAGATTTTAAAGACCATCTTCAAGTATGTTTCAAATCAGTTTTCTCCTTGTAAAGGTTTTCAGCATCAAACTGTTGTTTCCATGCTTCCCAATCCATACTTGAAAGATGGCATGATTGTCTATTTTGTTTCTCATTCTATTTTTCCAAAGTGGCACTCTCATAAGCATTCATGGTCTCAATGTAGCTTTGGGAAAATAATCTTCCTGTGATCAGGAATTTGGCTTAAACACAAATAGTATTAATGCACAAATAGTATTAATGCACTTCATTGTGTTGTCCCACCAATTTTTCTCAGCACCAAGTTAAGCATTTTCCATAGATTATGATGCCAGTGTAACATATTTTATAAGTTATCCAGGTGGCTTGAATATGGTTTCATGCATTTTTCCTCCTTTGAAAAAAAAAATCTTTATTTTTGAAATTTGGAATGTGTCTTTGACCTGCTTCTCCATTTCTTAGCATGTTCATATTATAAATTCCATATAAGGAAATAAATTTAAGTGTGAATGGGGAATTTTAATCTGAGATTTAGATGAAATATTTGCATATTGTGAAATATTTTTGTTATTCTTCATTTTATTCTTTGGCATCAACATTATGGCTGATGCTCTTAATAATAAAAGCATAGATCCATAAACATGGATATTGATCTAATTGAATTTTACCAGGGGCAAAAAATAGGGGCAAAAAAATTGTGGGTAAGTATATATCCTATATTTTTCTTTAAGCTGATGTTTCCTCTGCCTCAAAAACAAAACAAAAATGGCAAAAAAGGAAGACATTCAAAGCATTAGTTTCAATTTAGTCATGAGATGTAAATGGTAAGTTGAATACTTAGGTGATGCTAGTATCAGATTATATCCATTGACAAGATTTCAGAAATAGTTTATTCTTGCCTTCTTCCAGTGACTGAATGTGACTCAGTGAATCATCCCTGTGGTTTTGGGCCTATGTCTGGTTCCTAACATGGTGCTTAACCACTACACCCCCTTGATTCTCATTTATTTATGTTGTGTTATGTTGTTTTGTGTTGTATTATGTTAATTATATTTATCATAGCAAGTGGAAGAAGTGTGAGGAAAGGCTGTTGTGATAAGTGCATATTTTGAGATAAGCTCTGCCTATTTTAGTTCTTCTCTGAATTTCATGACAACCTTAATGAGTTAATTCTAATTCTCCCCTGGATTATGGAGTAGCAGAAGACATTGTGCAAACCTGAAATGTGTGTAATTTAAAACACATTACAGTCTTCTTTGCAACATTCTATATTTAAAATATTTACATCAGAATGGGATGTTTTGGCACTGACCCTTGGCCTTTGACCCCAGCCATCCACCTCAGCTGATTTACAGCCAGCTTTCTTCCTCTGCTGGCCTTCCACTGGCCATTCTCCACAGACAATGGACCTCTGCCCTCCGCTCCTGGCCCTTCCTCCCTACTCATTTGCCCAGACCTGGGCCTTTGGCTGCACTTGGCAAACAGCCCCCAGCCAATTGGATGGTGGGTGGCAGTGCTGGTGCTGAGGAGATGATTGAGGGGGCTGTGGTGGGTCAGCATGCAAAACAATTGGTGGCAGGCTGGAAGAGAGATCAAGAGGTGCAGTGGTGGCATTGTGGGGGGGGGAGGTGATGGCATGCTGGGAGGGCAGCCAAACTGCCTGTTGGTGTTGTATAGTAAAAGTTAGTCCTCGCTGTTACGAATGACAGCTCGGCAGCAGCCAGGCGCGTCTTAGCCAATCAGA